AACAACAAATGGGTAGAATCCAGCCAGTAGCTCACTCGTATAATTCTAGCACTTTGGTAGGTCAAGGTGGACAGATTGCTTGTGCTCAGGAGTTTGAGACCAGCCTGACTAACATGGTGAAACCCCATCCGTACTACATACAAAAAATTCGCCAGGCATGGTGGTGCATGCCTGTAATCCCAGCTGCTTGGGAGTCTGAGGTAGGAGAATCATTTGAACCCAGGAGATGGAGGTTGCAAGTGATGTGAGATGGCACCACTACACTCTAGCCTGGGTGACAGAGCAAGACTCCGTCTCAAAAAATTTTTAAAAATCTAAAAAAAAAGGAGAAAAGTAAAGTTTGGTAGTATTTAAGGAAAGCGTACAAAATGAGTTTTCCGTGTAAGGAATCAGAAGGATGATATTTAGCAGAAGGAAAATGTAACCTGATTGTGTGTTTGGCAGAAGGAACACCTGACAAGGCTGCACCCTTGGCAGAGAAAACGCCTGATGAGGCTACACCTGTGATGGAGAGAAGGCCTGAGGAGGCTGAACGTTTGGTGGAGGGAAGGCCTCATGAGACTGAATGCTCGGCTGAAAGAATGCCTGAGGAGGCTGCACCCTTGGTGGAAGTTATGCCTGAGGAGGCTGCACCCTTGGTGAAAATGCCTGACAAGGCTTCACCCATGGTGGAAAGAACGTCTGAGGAGGCTGAAAGCTTGGGGGAGGAAACCACTGATGAGGCTGCAGGACTGATGGAAAGAAAGCCTGAGGAGGCTGCACCCTTGGTGGAAAAAGTGCCTGAGGAGGCTGCACCCTTGGTGGAAGTAATGCCTAAGGAGGCTGCACCCTTGGTGGAAGTAATGCCTGAGGAGGCTGCACCCTTGGTGGAAGTAATGCCTGAGGAGGCTGCACCCTTGGTGGAAGTAATGCCTGAGGAGGCTGCACCCTTGGTGAAAATGCCTGACAAGGCTGCACCCATGGTGGAAAGAACGTCTGAGGAGGCTGAAAGCTTGGGGGAGGAAACCACTGATGAGGCTGCAGGACTGACGGAAAGAAAGCCTGAGGAGGCTGCACCCTTGGTGGAAAAAGTGCCTGAGGAGCCTGAATGCTGGGAAGGAAGAAGGCCTGATGAGTCTGAAAGCATGGAGGGAAGAACGCTTGAGGAGGCTGAAAGCCAGGCGGAGGGATCGCCTGACTGTGACTAGCTTAGCCTAATCATTTCTCTTTATGGAGATGGGATGGGGGTAACCGGGGTAATGGAATAATAAATGTCTAAATAAACTTCTGTTTCTGCAGCAAGAAAGAATAAATAATGGCTGTGCATAGGAAGCCAGCAATGTTTTCTGCAAACATTCATTGGAAAAGTTTGATCAGAGGAGTCACAAGATTGGATTTGAGTATCAGGGCATTCTGGTCATGATATAAAGCAGAGATTAGTAAACTTTTTCTGTAAAGGGCCAGATAGGAGCTATGTTAGGCCATGTGGTCTCTATCACAGCTATTCCACTCTGTTATTGTAGTGTGATGAAAGTAGTCAAAATATTGTGGGAACTCAAGCCAAGGAGGGCAAGGAGACCAAGGAGACGCAAGAGAATTTATTGGTGTACTGACTGATGATGGCGAGGCTAATGCCTGTAATGGCCGTCAGCGCTGAACAAACAGAACGTATTGCATTTATACAATCTGAGGTGGGAAAATAAGGCAGAAAACATGTTTAGGAAAAAGACAGTTAATTAAATTTTGCAATCTTGGGAAAACATGAATTATCTTCGTGTTTATCTTGACCTTATAACCTTGCAGCTGAGGTAGAAGGTTGTATAGTTGAGGAAGATGCCCAAGGAGACCAGAGAAACAGGAATTGCACAAGTATGTGTGGGCCATGGCATAAAGACATCCTCTGGTGTTCTTATGTAAGTAGGTAGTGGGCAGTGCTAGGTCTACTTGATCTCTACTTTCTCTAAATACAGGTTTTATGACTAGCCTGGAATGGGGGCTGTGAGATAAGTTTGCAGCTGCAGTTAGTTGGGCTAAGCTGGGAGGGGTTAATTATTTTTGCTTACTATGATTTTTTTGTTAGTAACCTAGTTCTAATGTTAACTATTACTTATTCTACTTTAACTCTGTCTTTGATTTCGTTTTGCTCCTCATTCCCCTCTTAAAAGCTTTCTTTAAAGGGATTTCATTCCTACAAGGCTTTTCTCTCTTTTCTCTTTTTGAGACTTTACAATTCACATGATGCCAGGATGGAGGGGTCAGTCTGTCATTAAAGTGTTACTATTCATTTTCCTGATTGCAAAACTAGCTCACCAGTGTACCTTCTCCTGTTGTCATCTGTTTTGGACATACTGATAGTGAGAGTAGGAAAATTCCTTTGACTCCTGTTGGCCTCTCTGCACTGTGCCTGTCTTAGGTTGTCCCTCGCTCTGGGGACTGTTATCCATTATTGATAACCAGCCCTCCAACTGGGGCCTTACAGGGCATGCGGTATCATAGGGCATCATTGTTGGAGGCTTTTGCTTAGCCTGGAAGACAAGACTGGAGCCAGGTTACTCTTTAGCAAGCTGCTTCATTAGGCTATGACACCTGATGGTTATACTTCCTGATTTGGCCCAGAAGCTCTTTATCTGCACATCTGTACTTCATGTGATTCAGGGAGCGAACAAGAGAAGGACTCTCAGAGGAGTCCTACATTGGTACTACAGTTGTCTGCCTTTTTACTGTGTGGGTTCTCTTCCTGTGAGGAAAAAGGCTGATATTTAGTTAAAACCACTATTTTGGTGGTAGTGTGCCTAGCCACTACTGCCTCTATGGTTGATTGTACACTTCTAAATAGAAGAGGAAAGAGGCAAGGGAGTTTTACGCATCCACCTAATATGAGAATTACACTCCCTATAAGAGTCTTGAAGCCACAAAAGAATGAAAACCATCCACTAAAAAGAGAATTTGGAGACTATCCTTTCCAAGTTTGGACTGGGACATGGACCATTTTCTGAATTCTGGGTGATTCATCTCCATTATTGCTTGTCCATTGTCATCAAATTCTAAACAACAATTGGTTAGATTAAATTTTCCACAAACTCCTCCTCTGAGGTCAGGAGATAGTCTAGTGCTAGCTTATTCTGATATATTGCATTTCTCATCTGTGGGGCTTGTATGGGTAGCAAATCTAAAGCTCTTATGTTTCATTGGTTGTAATGTATAGAACTGCCTGTAACCTAATGATGTGATTATCACACAGATGGGAGTGTGATATCCCCATATCCCATCTTGTAACCAATAAGCTGGACCATAATAATTATTCTTTCTGGGGGTCAGTCAGTGTCTTTCTAGTCTCCTATTTGTACATCTTTCTTTATGTCTATTGCTTGCTTGCTTGCTCTTATTCTGGACTCATGGTATACAGAGTACCCTAATGTTTTCCCTTGCCCCATTGGAAGCAAAAAGAATGATGGTTTGATGATGCCTAACACACAAGCCCTCATCCATTTTTCTGGCAACTGCCTGTATGCCTGCAGGCCACAAATCCAATAGCAGCCTCAGGGTACCCGCCAAGCATTTGGAGCTTCTAGTTGGTACCAAGAATGGTTTAAGGAAGGAAATCTGGAAAATGGGTTAAAACGAGGTGGCTCAGATCTCCTCTCACCTGATCTGTTCTCTCTCCATCGTTAGGTCTTTCCTGTAGTTTCATTGTAATATTCCTGTCCTAGGCATGCTAGTTCACCTACTGGATTAGTATAGGTGGCTCCCCAGCAGGCAATACAGTATCTTCCTCTAATAGAAGTCTTTAGAAGCCAAGCACTGGAGCCTGTGGATGATAACTCTCGAGTATCTAGGGCATGAAGGGTTAAAGTGTAATTGTCTTGGATAGCAATACTTTGCTTCCCAAGGCCACTGGGTCTCCATGTTAGTTACTCCACATACGTAACATGAGGTGACTCCTAGATTTCCTGCTATACTTTCAGCTAACTGAGCAAATAGATTCCTAGCGGTGGAAGGTGACTCAGGAGTTTCTTGGTTAAAATGTTCATTGAATGACTTAAAGACTTGAAACTGCTGTTGGGATCAATGAGCTTGGGTATTTTGACAATATATAAAAAAAAAACCACAGTGTCTTCATTTGCCCATTTGAGATATACAAGGCCTATCTTTCTTTTCTCAGCATTTTCTTCATCTACCTTAGTTAAATTATTATATCCTACTGGGTCCAAGACAGTGAATTCTATAAGACTGCAGATTTTCCCTTTATCTCCTATTTCACAGTCATCATAGTCATACCAGTTTATGGCATCACTGATCCAAATCGGGATTTGAGTAAACACAGCCTGCTTCATTTGAGGATTACACCTTGTGCATACAGTTAGGACTTCTCTAGTGGGGGTGTTATAACAAGTTGGAGCTACAACTATTATTTTTAAAAAGTGTTTTTATTACCTGACATGCATCTAAGTATAAGAACACACTTCCTTGATGAGAAGGGGATACCCAAGTCAGGTTGTAAAGGGTTCCTTCTGCTGACTTTTCATGGGGCTCAAACAAAGTCTCAGGAAAAAGTTTGGGATCACAGCACATGTAAGGCTGACCATCACCTGAATCACAAATTGAATAGGTAGCTTGACTATAATGCAAGTTCCTGGGGAAGCTCCTGTATACTCATAATGTGTTCGGTATAGTAGGGTCTTAACTTGTGCATTCCCTATCCATGTAGTGTGGGTGCACGTAGGACACCCATTCTTGACTTCCCCCCTTACTAAATTTGCCATAAGAGCTAACATGGGCAAAATGAAAGGCATACATTTTATACTAAGACTGGACACGAAATGTTTTTTCCTGGGAGCAAAATTTGGCAGCAATGATGACATAGCAATGGGATAGTCAATATTACTAAAATAACAACAAGGCTTAAGCTTTCATTCCACATACACTTGTCCGGTGACGATTCCTCAAGCTTCAGCCATGCATTGACAAGTCAGCTTCTGGTGGTGTGACTAGAGCAGGGCTTAATGATTCCTCAGGGTCAACTGCATCTGAGACCGAACCGGGCTGGTCCTGGTCCTTGTCAATAATGCATCTCAAAGTTAGCGTGGAGGTATGCTCTGGATCTGGCTGACTGGTCCACTTGTCTTGGGCTGCTGGCTTTAACTGGCTGTGATGAATCCGGAAAACAACTTCAGCAACTTTACCAGCAGTGGGGGTGGAAATAAAGAGGCCATTCCATGTAAGGCCCAGTGTGATTGGGTTCTACTTTTTAACCCAGACAGAGTCTCCTGGTTTAAATGAACGGATTGGAGTTGTTAAACTTATGGGTATTATTTCCTGTACCCAGTTTTGTACTTGCTCCATGGCTATACTTAAGGCCTGTTTGTCTCCTTAATGTTATTTCTCCTATTTCCTTAAGATCTCCTTTTACCTGAATTATAAGTTGGTGGGGGGTCTTCCAAACAAAAGTTCATAAGATGAATATCCAGTCTGTTTGGTTGGGGTGCATTTCACTCTGAGGACCATGGGCAAGACTTGATCCCACCATAAGTATGTTTCCTGACAGAACTTCTTTAGCAATTGTTTTAGTGTCTGGTTTATTTGCTCTACTTCCCCAGAACCCTGGGGATGGTAGGCAGTATGTAATTTCTAATTTATTTTTAACAGCCGAGAGAGATCTTTAACAATCTCAGCTACAAATACTGGTCTATTGTTGGATCCTAGAGTCAGAGGCAGCCCAAACCTGGGGATAATATCCTTTAATAAGGCTCTGGTCACTTCTCTGGCCTTTTCAGTTTGAGTGGGGAATGCCTTAACCCACCCGGAGTAAGTATCAGACAGATAATTACATATACCAACAGCGTTCTGCTCGAGGCAATTTGGTAACATCTACAAGCAGGTTTTCACATAAGGTTGTTCCTACTCTGGGTTCCTGGGTATTGAAGCGGCCCTACCACAGATTGTTTTGGGCACAAGTTAAGCAGTTTTCACTAACAGCACAGGTGATGGCAGTGAGGTGCAGCACGTAAAAATGGTGGTCTATTACGGCTTCTAAAGCTGTCTTCCACATATGTGTTCCCTCATGGAACTGCTTCACAAACTTAAGGGCCATTATGTCGGGAATGGCCAGCCTCCCAGCTGAGAATTGCCACCACCCACTTTTGGAATAATTCCCAGCCTCTTGAGTGAACAGGGCCTTTTCACTAGGGGTGTAACTAGGCTTTCCCAT